TGGAACAATAGCTTTAAATCTCCGATCTATCTTTCCAACGAGATATAATACGATCCAAACGGATAAATACACAGCAAGATATGAGTGACACAAATACTTAGCCTTATCTCAATGATTTAGCGTTTTCAGCGAAAATAAGGCACTTTTAGAGTAAATACAGTGCATTTTAGTAATTAGGCAATCATCCCTATATATTTTGAAACCAGCGCCTGAAATTGATGAAACGAATTGCTTTGATCCGAGACTCCATGGTATCTAAATACCCTTCTATACCCGAGACTATTATTAACCTTGGAAAGATGGCTCACAATGGTAAGCTTTCCTCTTCTAAGGTATATGACCTTCTTAGGATGAAAGGGACTACTCATGCATGGATGTCATTCATTTGGAAAGCCTATATCCCACCCAAGTTTTCGTTCATAATGTGGCTGGCCTACCGTAATAGACTACCTACGTATGACAACATGGTTTATCTTGATATTGTTAATGTTTGTCCTTTTTGTAAGGGTGTTCCGGAGACGGTAACACACCTATTTTTTGAATGCGTTTGTACAGGGCAGATTTGGGAGAATATCAAAGGATGGCTCGGAATCTCTAGGCAAATGTCATCGTTGAGGAGTGCGGTGAAATGGATTTCAAGAGATTGCAATGGAGCACATATTAGAGCAAAGGCTACGAGGATAGCGTTTAGCTACACAATCTATTGGATATGGAGGACTAGAAATGCGATTCGTTTTGATGGAGCATCACTAAAACTGGATGATACAATTGCACATATCAAGTATATGGTGTACAAAGTGCTATTCTCGCTATATCCGTATCATATGATCCCTTTTTGAATTATAAACTAGCCTGTTTTTTGTCATGAGGTGATGGCTATTGTTTTGCTAGATGATAATAGTTAGAAGTTAAGCTTAAATAGCTTTTGATGTTATAGGGTATCCATACTTGGATATGCCTCAAATTTTGCTCATACGATGTACATAAAATTGGTTACTATCTATATATTTACATTTCCCCAAAACAAATTGAAACCAGCGCCTGAAGACAAGTTCTAGAACTCGGAAAGATCTTTCCAATGAGATATTAAACGCTTTCAGCGGCACAAAATAGAGCAAGATATGATCGCATCAAATTCTACACGAGTTCGGAGTGAAATCTGAAACATTTGTGAATATATGGTTAATCTGTAACTTTTATTTAATTCATTGTAACTGAAGTTGGAACAATAGCTTTAGATCTCCGATCTATCTTTCCAACTAGATATAATACGATCCAATCAGATAAACACACAGCAAGATATGAGTGTCACAAATACTTAGCCTTATCTCTATGATTTAGCGTTTTCAGCAAAAATAGAGAACTTTTAGCGTAAATACAGTGTATTTTAGTAATTAGGCAATCATCCCTTGACATTTTGAAACCAGCACCTGAAGACAAGTTTTAGAACTCGGTAAGATCTTTCCAACGATATATTAAACGCTTTCAATGGCACAAAATAGAGCAAGATATGATTGCATCAAATTCTACACGAGTTCGGAGTGAAATCAGAAACATTTGTGAATATATGGTTAATCTGTAACTTTTAATTAATGAATTTGGAACAATAGCTTTAGAGCCCCGATCTATCTTTCCAACGAGATATAATACGCTCCAAATGGATAAACACACAGCAAGATATGAGTGTCACAAATACTTAGCCTTATCTCTATGATTTAGCGTTTTCAGCGAAAATAGAGCACTTTTAGCGTAAATACAGTGTATTTTAGTAATTAGGCAATCATCCGTTGATATTTTGAAACCAGCGCCTGAGAGAGCGCCTGAGTGAAAAAAGGTTGAGAGAGTCTCTCTCCTGGGTTCATCGGCGACCCAGCTCCTTCGTCCGTACTTTCATGGCGCCTTCAGATTCGTTGGATTTCTGAGCTTCTAGGTTTGGTTCTTGGCTGGTTGCTACTTCGTCTGGCTTTCTATGCGTTATTGGGACGAAGAACGATGTCCAAAACAGGTTTTACGAGTTTAATCGCGTAACCACTGTTCATGCGATTTATGTGCGTTTTATTTTGGATTCAGCTGAAAATCACTCCTATCTGCTATTCACGAGTTCGGTTCGACTTTTGTTTTTGATTTCCGTACCTGTTTTTGATAACAAGGGCGGTTGAATTTGTGTATTTCGAGCTCGGGGTATATCTCCGATTTGGGGCTTTTCGCGTACCTATATTTCGACTTTCCGTACCTGTGTTTGATAACAACGGCTTTTCTCTGTGTTTCTTGCTGTAAATAACGACCATGGCTGGTAATAAGAAACAGGGGAAGGGTGTGAAAAACTCTTCCATAAATACCAGGTCCAAGGCATCAATAGGATTCAATGTGTTGGAAAGTCTTGATGAGAATTTCCCTTCCCTACTTGCTGGAAATTCTGGAACAAAGCTCTCTGGAAAATCTGCAGCAGTGCAGGCTGCTGCTATAGCTGGGGAGACTACCCCTATCCAGAGCAAGACTACTGCAACATGTGATTCTGCAATCGTTAATGGGAAGCCTCCAACTGCTGGGAACCCAATTGCTACTCCTGAGGTTGTAACTGCTGTTACCAAAGCACCTACTGCTGCTAAAACAGTTTCACCCGCTGCAGGAAGTGAAATAACTGCCGGCAAGTCAACTGCCATTCCAGTGCATCCTGCGCAAGCTACTGGAGGAGTAAAACTGGCTCCGGTGCCACGGACAGAAACTGAATTACAGTGGAAAGCATTGTTTAAGGATAATCGCGATCCGAGTCAAGGTTTTAAACTAAGATATATCCCTCCTAAAGGTGAGACTTTGGATTTTGGGAATCGAGTTCTACCGACAATGGTTGAAATGTGGGGCTTTTGCCTAGTTGGACACTTCTCTGGGAACTTCCCCGGACTCAAAGCGGTTCATGATCTTAAAGCAAAATGGGGCGTCAAATGCCTTCTCAGGTCCCACAAAAAGGGGTGGCTTATTTTTAAATTTCAAAGTGGAGAGGATAGAACAAAGGTTCTACTTGGAGGACCGTACACCGTTTTTGGAAAACTACTAATGCTCAAGGAACTCTCAGAAAATTTTTCATTTGAGGACGAAGAATTTTTAAAAGTACCAATTTGGGTTAAGTTTCATGATTTACCTATGCAACTATGGAATGATGAGACCATGAGTGAGGTAGCTTCCATGGTTGGGGTCCCAATAGCTACGGATAAAATCACCAAAGAGAGGATCAACAATGACTATGCTAGAGTGTTGCTAGAGGTTGACATCTCGAAGCCGCCGCCACTCTCGTTTCCTATACGTTTACCTTCCCAAAAGGTATTCAAGCAAAGTGTGGTTTATGAGACTTTTCCTAGTTATTGTTTTCATTGCAAAGAATATGGGCACCACCCATTTATTTGTAAGATGTTATGTGGGGTTGGGGCGAACAAGGAAATGGAAAAAATTGATATTTTAGGTGATAAATCTGTTGGAATTGGACCTGTTATTGCTCGGCCAGAACCTTTGGGGCTAAACCCGACCGGGTTTCACCTTAAACCGACCGGGCTGCACCTTAAACCGACCGGGTCACAGGCAGATGTTACGGCCAAAGGCTCAAACCCATCCGGGTCTGCCCTAAACCCGACCGGGTTAAAAGGACAGACTGCCCAGGGGCCCGAACTACCTACTGTGAAAGGAAGAAAGACAATTGGCCAACTGTTGGGTGTGCAAACTGACCATGAGTTTTCCGAGGATGAAGACGACGAGGTCTTTTTAGAAGAAAATGAAAGACTAGTTACGAGTGAGACTGACTTGCACCAAAACGATGTAGTAACAAAATAGGAGGTGGTCAAGGGAAAGAAGCTCAGGTTGTTTGTTAAACCATTTAAATTTGTGCATGCCAATGTGATTAGAGTGGATACCTCTCTTAGACTTACGGATGACTTGGACAATAAAGGCCTAACTTTCACCGCCAAATGTCTTGAGAGGCTACCGGGAGTTACTAAGAAGAGAGGGGAGCTTTGTTTTGACTCAAAGTTTACGGCTCCTTTCCGACTTTTCTTTGGTTCTTAAGTTAGGGATACCTATCTTCTGAGCTGGTTCTTGTGGACTGTTATTGTTCCTAATATTGTTTCGGGTCAGGTTGTTTGATTTGTGAGAATGTATGCTTTGTTTTTGTGGTATCCCGTGATCTGGGATATAACACGAGTTCGGAATGAAATCAGAAACATTTGTGAATATATCGTTAATCTTTAAATTTTAATTAATGCATTGTAAATGATGTTGGAACAAAAGCTTTAGGTTGTTTTTACTTGGACTGTAGTTGTTCCCAGACAAGACCACACCAGACCAGACCAGACTAAAATAAACCAGACCAGACCATATTTTATTATTATTATTCTTATTATTATTATTATTACTATTATTATTATTATTATTATTATTATTAATATTTTGATGATTATGATTATAATTGATATTATTATTATTATTATTAATATTATTATTATTATTATTATTATTATTATTATTATTATTATTATTATTATTAGCTCCGATCTATCTCTCCAACGAGATATAATACGCTCCAAACGATTAAACACACAGCAAGATATGAGTGTCACAAATACTTAGTTCTATTTTTGGATAAAATGTAAATATATATCCAGAAAAATAACAATACATGTATCAAAAAGATCTATCTAAGCTAGCAGGCTAACCTAAAATAGAATCTACCGTCTCCACCCCCCCCCCCCCCCCACCTTGCGGCAGGGAGGGGAGAGAGGAGTTTTTCCGAAGTCCAAAAGACATCACAAAAATACAATCCAAGAATGGTACGGGACAGTCCCCGACTCATTCATCAAAAATAAATCAAAACCCAAGTCCAAGCCAATGAATGCCCATCATTGGGAAAATCCAGCAAAAAGATCACCATCATCCAAGCTTCCTAGCTTCTGGGCCAGCAAAGGCCCGTCCACTACTCAGCAACAAAGTAACAGCAGCTCAAGATCAAAGTCCAACAGGTGAGCCCAAAGGCCCACTGCTGAACAGGCATGCTAAAAGAAAGCATTCCAGCAAGACCAGTGAAGGTCCACGGCCCAATTTGCGTCAAATTAGCAGCAGCGTCCCAGCATCCAATGTCAGCTCGAGCGAAGCCCAATCCTTCAAGGCCCACTAGGTTTCCGCAGCAAACATAGCCCAATCTCCTATCAGGCATCCTCATCGCAGCGCCGCAGTGGTAGGCGCGAAATCCCAGCATCAATTCAAATTTTGAAAAGTCACAGGCGTGGTGACAGCCTGTACAAAAGTACACTGTCCACCTGTCCATCATCTGTCTGTCAACCGTAACCCACCCCCTACCAACCAGCCCACCTGGTCCCGGCGACCCCAGGCTCTCTGATGGCCGGCGAACGGAGGGCGAAGAGAACCAGCCGGAGAAGTAACCATATCCCCCACCACCACCTCACCTCTGTCGGGTTCCGGCATCACCCCGGCGTCGACGGCGAAGCAGCAGTGAGAAGCATCGTGAACAAACCGGAATGTAACCAATCCACCTCGTATCTCCCCCTCCACCCCCACCGGGCTCCGGCGTCCAACCCGGCGACATTGGTGGAAGAAGCAAAGCAACCAGCCGGAAAGAAACCTCTGCTAACTCGTAAACCCATTTTCCATCCCCATCCCCGTCGAGCCCCGGTGACCCCCGGCGGCAAAGATAAGATGGTGGAATAACGGCGCATTAACAGTACCCGGAAAACGAACCACAGCCCTAATCCAAAACCCAGATCCCAAAGGTTTCCGGTCATCTTCTCGGGCAAAGAGCACCACAAAACAAGTGAAAGGTAGACCCTCAAGGCCGGAAAACCTCAGGCGCATTGTAACAGAGGTAGCCAAGCTCGCCTTAGTTCTGGTCATCTTCTTCCGCACAGGTCAACGAACGGAGGACAGTCCCCGTTTTCAGGTAAATCCCACCGGTGACTACAAACTCCAGACCCCCAACCTGGGCCCAGCCCGGGATCCGTAACGAAGTAGCGATAGGTAATGGCCGCGAAAAAAGACCTGCACCCGGACCCCTCAATCGGTGCTGCCACGGAAAACGCCATTACCCATGGAAGATGAAAAGACCTGCAAGCTTACAGATGCAGCGAGGAAGACGAACAGGTTCCTTAAACATTTTGGGAGTAAAAATGTCATTGACGAGTGTCCCCATCCACTGTCCTCCGACACTTTGAACATCCCCAACCATTCCGGCGACACGTCCGAGGACGAAGGTGCTGCACTCGCCGGAGAGTTTTCACCCCGGTTGTAAATGAAAAAGGAAAAGATGAGGGCGAGAACGATGGTAAATACCTGAAGCATAAACCGGCAGTAGAACCACCAGACCCTGTACAGAAGCATCAGCCCAAAACGGAGGTTTGCCAGCCACCTTGAAATTTCGGCCGTTGAATTCCAGCCCAGAAACACCAATAACGCAGCCTTCCAGGTTAACGAACAGTCCCCAACCCACCAGTATCCTTCTCACCGGCCTTCAAACAAGGTTCAGGCACTGCCGGTGCTCCATTCCCACTGCGCAGCAGTTAAGTCAACAATCCCCAAGCTAAAGCAGTCCAGCAACTTGCCGTCAACCACAACCCACGAGTTGAGCACTTCGCGTTCCAGGAATCCGTTTCGCACCAGAAGCCAGCCAACACCTTTACGTCACCAAATCAAAAGCTCCCACGGCCGCCATCGGTGATGACCAAAAGTCCAGCACAGTTCGGTTTCCTTGTGAGCGAAGAACCGAAGCTCCGCAGTTGCGGTTTCCAATTTCAGAGTTCACGCTTGAACCAACCTCCAATCCATAAGCAGTCCGCAAACCATTTTCCAAAAATCATAAGGTCAAAGACCAAACGAACAATGTCAAGCAACCAGCCAACCGGAGCCAGGAGGGCTCCGGCGGCGCACCACCGCGGGTGGTGGCGCCGGACGCCAGCAAGGTGAGCAACCTAGGATCGAGTCCTAGTGAGAGACGCTCTCAACTCCTCCGGGCGCACAAATACTTAGTTCTAAAACATGTCTTTAGGCGCTGGTTTCAAAATATCAAGGGATGATTTCCTAATTACTAAAATACACTGTATTTACGCTAACAGTGCTCTATTTTCGCTGAAAACGCTAATATCTTTCTGTGTGTTTATCCGTTTGGAGCGTATTATATATCGTTAGAAAGATAGATCGGAGCTCTAAATTTATTGTTCCAAATTCATTTACAATGCATTAATTAAGAGTTACAGATTAACCATATATTCCCAAATGTTTCTGATTTCACTCCGAGCTCGTGTAGAATGTGATGCAATCATATCATGCTCTATTTTGTGCCGTTGAAAGCGTTTAATATCTCGTTGGAAAGATCTTACCGAGTTCTAAAACTTGTCTTCAGGCTCTGGTTTCAGAATATCAAGGGATGATTGCCTAATTAGTAAAAGACTCTGTAATTACGCTAAAAGTGCTCTATTTTAGCTGAAAACGCTAAATCATAGAGATAAGGCTAAGTATTTGTGACACTCATATCTTGCTGTGGGTTTCTCCGTTTGGAGCATATTATATCTCGTCAGAAAGATAGATCGGAGCTCTAAATTTATTGTTCCAACTTCATTTAGAATGCATTAATTAAAAGTTACGGATTAACCAGATATTCACATATGTTTCTGATTTCACTCCGAACGCGTGTAGAATTTGATGCGATCATATCTTGCTCTATTTTGTGCCGTTGAAAGCGTTTAATATCTCGTTGGAAAGATCTTACCGACTTCTAAAACATGTCTTTAGGAGCTGGTTTCAAAATATCAAGGGATGATTGCCTAATTACTAAAATACACTGTATTTACGCTAACAATGCTCTATTTTCCCTGAAAACGCTAAATCATAGAGATAAGGCTAAGTATTTGTGACACTCATATCTTGCTGTGTGTTTAACCGTTTGGATCGTATTATTTCTCCTTGGAAAGATAGATCGGAGCTCTAAAGCTAATGTTCCAACTTAACTTAACTATCTTTCCAACGAGATATAATACGCTCCAAACGGATTAACACACAGCAAGATATGAGCGTCACAAACAATTAGCCTTATCTCTATGATTTAGCGTTTTCAGCGAAAATAGAGGACTTTTAGCGTAAATACAGTGTATTTAAGTAATTTGGCAATCATCCCCTGATAGTTTGAAACCAGCGCCTGAAGACAAGTTTTAGAACTCGGTATGATGTTTCCAACTAGATGTTAAACGCTTTCAACGGCACAAAATAGAGGAAGATATGATCGCATCAAATTCTACACGAGTTCGGAGTGAAATCAGAAACATTTGTGAATATATGGTTAATCTGTAACTTTTAATTAATGCATTGTAAGTTAAGTTGGAACATTAGCTTTAGAGCTCCGATCTATCTTTCCAACGAGATATAATACGCTCCAAACGGATAAATACACAGCAAGATATGAGTGTCACAAATACTTAGCCTTATCTCTACGATTTAGCGTTTTCAGCGAAAATAGAGCACTTTTCGCGTAAATACAGTGTATTTTATTAATTAGGCATTTATCCATTGATATTTTAAAACCAGCGCCTGAAAACAAGTTTTAGAACTCAGTAAGCGCTTTCCAACGAGATATTAAACGCTTATAACGGCACAAAATAGAGCAAGATATGATCGCATCAAATTCTACCTGAGTTTGGAGTGAAATCAGAAACATTTGTTAATATATGGTTAATCCGTAACTTTTAATTAAGGCATTGTAAATGAAGTTGGAACAATATCTTTAGAGCTCCGATCTATCTATCCAAAGAGATATAATACCTTCCAAACGGATAAACACACAGAAAGATATGAGTGTCACATATACTTAGCCTATCTCTATGATTTATCGTTTTCAGCGAAAATAGAGCACTTTTAGCGTAAATACAGTGTATTTTAGTAATTAGGAAATCATCCCTTGATATTTTGAAACCGGAGCCTGAAGACAAATTTTAGAACTCGTAAAGAACTTTCCCACGAGATATTAAACGCTTTCAACGGCACAAAATAGAGCAAGATATGATCGCATCAAATTTTACAGGAGTTCGAAGTGAAATCAGAAACATTTGTTAATATATGGTTAATCTGTAACTTTTAATTAATGCATTGTAAATGAAGTTGGAGCAATAGCTTTAGAGCTCCGATCTATCTTTCCAACGATATGTAATACGGTCCAAACGGATAAACACACAGCAAGATATGAGTGTCACAAATACTTAGCCTTATCTCTATGATTCAGCGTTTTCAGCGAAAATAGAGCACTTTTAACGTAAATACAGTGTATTTTAGTAATTAGGCAATCATCCCTTGATATTATGAAACCAGAGCCTGAAGTCAAGTTTTAGAACTCGGTAAGATCTTTCCAACGAGATATTAAACGCTTTCAACGGCACAAAACAGAGCATGATATGATCGCATCACATTCTACACGAGTTCGGAGTGAAATCAGAAACATTTGTGAATATATGGTTAATCTGTAACTTTTAATTAATGCATTGTAAATGAAGTTGGAACAATAGCTTTAGAGCTCCGATCTATCTTTCCAACGAGATATAATACGATCCAAACGGATAAACACACAGCAAGATATGAGTGTCACAAATACTTAGCCTTATCTCTATGATTTAGCGTTTTCAGCGAAAATAGAGCACTTTTAGCGTAAATACAGTGTATGTTAGTCATTAGGCAATCATCCCTTGTTATTTTGAAACCAGCGCCTGAAGACAAGTTTTAGAACTCGGTAAGATCTTTCCAACGAGATATTAAACGCTTTCAACAGCACAAAATAGAGCAATATATGATCGCATTTAATTTTACACTAGTTCGGAGTGAAATCAGAAACATTTGTGAATATATGGTTAATCTGTAACTTTTAAATAATGCATTGTAAATGAAGTTGGAACAATAGCATTAGAGCTCCGATCTATCTTTCCAACGAGATATCATACGCCCAAAACGGATAAACACACAGCAGGATATGAGTGTCACAAATACTTAGCCTTATCTGTATGATTTCGCGTTTTCAGCGAAAATAGAGCACTTTTAGCGTAAATACAGTGTATTTTAGTAATTAGGCAATCATCCCTTGATATTTTGAAACCAGCGCCTGAAGACAAGTTTGAGAACTCGTTGGATTTTGAAACCCAGCTCCTTCGTCCGTACTTTCATGGCGCCTTCAGATTCGTTGGATTTCTGAGCTTCTAGGTTTGGTTCTTGGCTGGTTGCTACTTCGTCTGGCTTTCTATGCGTTATTGGGATGAAGAACGATGGCCAAAACAGGTTTTACGAGTTTAATCGCGTAACCACTGTTCATGCGATTTATGTGCGTTTTATTTTGGATTCAGCTGAAAATCACTCCTATCTGCTGTTCACGAGTTGGGTTCGACTTTTGTTTTTGATTTCCGTACCTGTTTTTGATAACAAGGGCGGTTGAATTTGTGTATTTCGAGCTCGGGGTATATCTCCGATTTGGGGCTTTTCGCGTACCTGTATTTCGACTTTCCGTACCTGTGTTTGATAACAACGACTTTTCTCTGTGTTTCTTGCTGTAAATAACGACCATGGCTGGTAATAAGAAACAGGGGAAGGGTGTGCAAAACTCTTCCATAAATACCAGGTCCAAGGCATCAGTAGGATTCAATGTGTTGGAAGGTCTTGATGAGAATTTCCCTTCCCTACTTGCTGGAAATTCTGGAACAAAGCTCTCTGGAAAATCTGCAGCAGTGCAGGCTGCTGCTATAGCTGGGGAGACTACCCCTATCCAGAGCAAGACTACTGCAACATGTGATTCTGCAATCGTTAATGGGAAGCCTCCACCTGATGGGAACCCAATTGCTACTCCTGAGGTTGTAACTGCTGTTACCAAAGCACCTACTGCTGCTAAAACAGTTTCACCCGCTGCAGGAAGTGAAATAACTGCCGGCAAGTCAACTGCCATTCCAGTGCATCCTGCGCAAGCTACTGGAGGAGTAAAACTGGCTCCGGTGCCACGGACAGAAACTGA